GTCCAATTGTCGTAAAGTTGATTAAATCTAAACCTATAGAATTAAACACTAAAATGATATAATTGTAAGAGGCCTGAGTTCTATATCAGCTTCTGCATTTTGAACATCCATTCAAGTTCCCGTATTACAGTGGACTTTGAACAACATCCTCTCAACTTTCCATCTACCCACCCACCCACCCACCCACCCACCTAGGGTTAATTTTCTACATATTTGTGTCAGTTTATATTTTAAGCAGGAGATGGAACTGTCTCTGGTAGGCCTTCAGAATGCAGGGAAGACATCACTTGTCAATGCAATTGCTGTGAGTCAGCGCAAATCCTGATTTTGTTTTACTGCTTACTGATAAATAACCAATATTTTGACATCATTGGTTTGATCATTTTTACCAGACAGGGGGATACAGTGAGGACATGATTCCAACTGTACGTATTTCTTCCTTTTGATTAAAATTTTTCTAACATATTTGAACATTGCACAATAAAAACTTTTTTTTTTTCGTTGCTATGAAACCCAGATAGGGTTCAACATGAGGAAAGTGAAAAAGGGAAATGTGACAATAAAGCTTTGGGACCTTGGAGGGCAGAGGAGATTCCGAACAATGTGGGAGCGTTACTGTCGGGGTGTCTCTGCCATACTGTACTTCCCATCTCTAAATATTCTCTCTTTATGGCCTTACAGAAACACATACAGGATGTCAATATACAAAGACATATAAGTTTTGCTTCAACTTTGATGGCTTAGTCTTAAAACTCGAGCACTATCGGCAGGCCAATTGCATGTGAATTTAGGTTGGGAAAAAAATGGGCATGACTTGTTCATACTTGTGTACAGTACCCTTTTTAAAGGATTAAATTTTACAAGTCTCTGTTTTTTCAACTGATAGAATTGAAAAACAGGTATGTGGTAGATGCTGCTGATAGGGACAGCATTCCGATATCTAAAAGTGAGTTACATGACCTCCTCATGAGACCTTCTTTGATTGGGATTCCTTTGCTTGTTCTTGGCAACAAAATTGACAAGTCAGAGGCACTATCTAACCAAGCGTTAGTAGATAAACTGTGAGTTAAAGGGAACTTGAAGAACTTGTTCCGTTCACCGTTGCTCTCTTCAGTTTCCATATCTTGCAAATATTTATATCTGAAAGGTTCTATGGATTTTCATCTTGAACATTTCAGAGGACTCGAATCCATCAAAGACAGAGAAGTCTGCTGCTACATGATTTCATGTAAGGATTCCACAAACATCGATGTTGTCATTAACTGGCTTATCAAACACTCCAGAACTGTAAAATGATTCCTGTTTTTTTTGTTTTTTGGTGTCATTAAGAATTTGGATGTATCTGTTGGATATGGTTTGTTGTCCAGTAAAAATTCCCGTAAAGTTACCAGTTGGCGACTGTATTTCATGCGTTGTTCTCAGATGTACCAATAAATGGATGACATCATCCACCTGGTCTCTTCTCTTCGAAATGATTCTGGTGTTTACTGATGAGCCAAGTGATGATTAATAAAGACAAGTATTTAAAGACGGGCTGAAAAGCTGAGACAAAGTGCTATTTTAAAGACTAATCTTTATTGGTGATCATCCCTTCGTTTTTAATTACAACATGCAATTGCTTACATGATAAGATTTTGATTATCTAAAAACTGATTACAATATGCCCCCTCACTATTAACTCCATTGTTCAAAGCTTGCTGGTGACATTAACGGTTCGCACTTTAGGCGACTTTGGAGCATCTTTAGGAACTATTACAGTGAGAACTCCATTTTCCACCTGTGCCTTAATCTGATCAACCTTGACATTTTCTGGCAATTCAATTGCGCGAGAAAACTCACCCTTACCTGTCCCCCTCTCAGCCACATGCCAAACAGAGTCTTTCGCTTGATGGTCCTCTTTCCCACCTTCACTTTTGATATGCAAAATATTCCCATCCTCAATTTCCACCTTTATGTCATCTTTGGTGAACCCTGGTCCCAAATTAAAAAAAATTAAATTTCACAAGTTATTATTCTGTTGAATCCAAACCAACCCCCTCAACATTCTAATACATCTGATAAAATTGAAGAGTGTGTGATTGATGATAGATACCTGGCACGTTAATTTTCAAGACATGGGCAGACGGAGATTCAAGCCAATCCATGAGAGCCGTTGATCCTGACCATTCTCGGAAAATCGGAGGGCTCCAGAAGAAGCGCCTGAAAGGGGAGCCGAATAAGCCGTCGGCCATCGCTGAACCCTACAAAAGCTGAAGATGGTAAAGTTGGATTGAGGAAGAAAGCTCAAGCACTGGGGAAATTCAGTGAGTTCAGGGTTTTATAGGAGTTATCGCGACTATCCAGAATGTTCCCGGCATCTTATCTAATGCAGGGCATCGTGCAAAGAAGACGCTGGTCCAGGATGATTCAGGAATCTGGATGAGCCATCGAGAGAGAAATTTGAACCAGGCCAGTTTAGTGGGCTTAATTTGATTTACAGTTTTGGGTTTTATTCATTGTGTCGGGCTTCGATAATCACACGATATCTGGGAATAAGTTTGGGTATTGGCCTGCTAACCTTTTTTAATTGATTTTGTTTATAAATAGTTTATTGCCAGTTTATTTTTGGTAACTTAGTTTTTTTTTATAACTGTGTGATATTATCTGATTATCCATCCAAATTCAAGTGTTTTTCTTAATCTTGAATAGAAAGATATTTCATAATTAGATTTTGAATTTTATCCACTTTACCTAATTATTGTTGGTCAAATTTAATATTTTATTTATGTAATATTATTTTCTATTCGAGGCACTTAATTTTAGACCATGACACTTAATGACGTTGTTCAGAATAAGGAAATAGAAAGAATCGTACTGAAGGACCAAATTTCCAAATTAATTATCAAGAACACTTTTAAATTTACCTCTCGTATAATGTAAATTTATTTGTTGAAGTACAATTATTTACCATCCACATAATGTAAATTTATAAATAGAATTATAAGTATTTGTCATCAGTGGTATTCAGGAACAAAATATTTGTGCATTTAGTCCTTAGACATAAGTCTCCCAAAAATATAAGAGATCATGTAAGAAACAATTATTGTGGTTAATTTTCACTGGAATTTAAATCTTATGCTTTGGATCCATTGATTAACAAGTGCTCAATTTCATAATTATGTCTCAGACTCTCAGTTCAAGGTTAAATTGGGTTTCTCATTGTTTATTTCATTCAAATTTACTCAAGTTTCCACGTCATATGGTACATGGAGACAATAAGGAAGGGAAAAAAAGAAAAAAGAAGAAGAAGAAAATCAGAAACTTTCGGGTATGAAAGTAAAAAGAAGAATGAAAAGAACACGCCAACACAACCCGACTTTTTCTGGGTTATCAGAAAAATGGCAACAACAAAAAAACTTAAAAAGGTGTCTGGATATCCCAATAATTATTTTTCAGAAGTATTTTTTATAAATCGTGAAAAATTCTTTTACATATTTATTTTGTATACTGTAAAAGTATTCATGAAATTATGGTTTTGATCTTATCCAAATACTTTTTATTCATTCTAACTTTTTTCACATCATCTTTGGCAGAAAACGAAAACCTTTTCCACATCATCCAAAACACAGCACGGGCACTTTTATTTTGGGGAGGGGGGGGGTCCGGTACTTTGCCTGCCTGGGGTTTGAATAACTAGTGTCTGGTGAGATAGTACCATAGTGACAAAATTATGGGGAAACACGAAAATCTGTGTAAATGTGTGATTGCTTAATTGTGAAGCTTTGGATATATTGGCATCCATCTGGAGGCCAAACCCCAGATTCCATTCAGTGACGTTTGACTTAAAACTAAAAGGGCTCAACACAGGGAAGGAGCAAATCAAAAGTAGTGACATAAGCTTTCAACCAGAACAGTGCATGTTCTTTTTTTTTTCCAAGGTACTCTTGTGGGTCAATAGCAGCTCTAGTGGATTCAATTAGAATGTCCTGTCTCTGGCTTTGTTATCCACTAAGCACTAACAATTCATGAGTTTGATTGGACAAAAATGTATGCTGAGACTTCCCATCATGCTGTTCTGTTCCTAAATTTAGTGCATTTGCGCATCAGACATTCCGGAACTTGTCCTCTGAAAAATGGTCTTGTTATAAGACATACAATAAAAGAATATGACAGTTAGGTTTCTTTTCAAGAAAATTAACAACAATCAAATTCCTGATAAGTTATTTATTAAAAAACAGTTAGGTTTCTTTTCAAGAAAATTAACAACAATCAAATTCCTGATAAGTTATTTATTAAAAAACAAGTTGCAAGTTTTGTTAGAAGAATTACTATGAGATCATAAAAAAGAAATATGATTATAAAAAATTCTCAATAACAAATAAGCAGTTAAAACTTGTTAACATTTTCTGCCTTTTAACTTACATACGACTCAATTATTATGAGAGTTTTTATAATAAATATATACATTTTTTGATAATCTTATAGTAATTCATCCAATTTCCTTTACGTAGCCTTTCAAAATGCAAGTATTTCACTATTCAAAACAAAATCATTTCCATATCATACTTCTTTAATTTGATATCATATAAAATTATATCATTAATTCACAACCTCGCATTTAGGTTGGATGAAAAACTAGAAAAATAGTTTTTTCTGAAAAGAACGAAAGAAAGAAGCTTTAGATAAAGTTGTGTTTAGAAAGCAAAAGCAGAATCATATGAAAATTCAGTGTCCCAGAAAAGTTGAGGAGAGGTGCATATACCAATGATACACGATAGAGGGAGAATATTATTATGACTTTATAATATAAGCTTCATGCAGCTTTACAATTAAAGAATATTACTGTAATATCATATAATGCACAAAGATAACACACCGCTTTGTTAAAAGCGAAGGGAGAGCAAATCATAGAATCTTTTGATCTCTCCCTTTCACTTTTCTTCCTTCTTCGCATTCATTTCAACAAGTGCCTCCATGATCTCTTCAATCCCTCTTTTGAACACATATTTTTTAAATAAAAAATTGACAAAGGTAATTTAAAAAAAGAAAAGGAGCCACCAAAAGCAAGCTCTAATGGAGGACAGAGGCTGATAGTTGGGCACTTCAACAATCTTTGATTGTTTCTTTATTCTTACTTACCTGCATGGGAAATAATTAAACCAACAAGACCGGAAAAAAAAAAGTCAGTGGAATGCTATATCACTTTTAAAAAAAAATTAGAAAATAAGAAGAAAATGGGAAGAGAAATTGTGAAATAATGAGTATAATTACCACGATCTTCACAGAGCTTCCTCAAGAAAGCGAGGAAGATAATAAGAATGGCCACTCCTGCTAATAATCCTATGATTATTGCAAATGTCTTCTCTCCTTCTTCATTCGATTTCTCTGCATCACGATTCAGTGTTTGACACATCAACATATCTCAAACCATCTAATACATAGTCTTTTTACACGTGTGTGTGATGCACCCCTTGAGGATGAACACGTCCACAGGTTACAAAAACCACTCAATTACTAAGAAATAAGACCCCGTTTGGTTCGTATGTAGAATAGGATGAAACGGAACGAAAAGTGAACCATATTCGAAAACGTCGTGCTGTGAGACCAGGGGGGGAAAAATGACCCAAACAGTTCATTGCTTTTGGTAAACTCTCTTGTGGTCACACTCAACATTATTTACAAATTTTTTTCTTATTATTATTTTTACAGCAATACACAGCATAATATTTCACTTCACACCCCACCACCACAAGTTCTGCTGGATCAAACGAAGAGGAATGGGAGGAAAAGGAAGGGGACTTGGAGATGTGGGGTGATTAAATGGGCCTTACCATGGGCCTTGGAGTACCCGTGGGACCCACCGGTGGAGTATCTCGCGTAGCACTTGGCGAAGAACATGTCCCCGTAATCCGCTGTCCCACAATCGCTTCTCAGCCGTCCGATCGCCTCTCCAAGGCAATCCTGACACTCCCCGGAGCTCAGATCCCCCGTACACTGGGCCATGCCACGGACCTTACCCGATCCCCCCAGCCGGAACGGACCGCTCGAACCCGCCAGACCCGTGAGGACCGCGTCCCTGCTCGACATGGCGTCCGAGTTGTACCCGACGGAGGGCCCGCATTTCTTCAGCACCACCGTCTTGTCCTCCACGCCTAAGAACGTGACGTTGTCGTACTTGACGTAGCAGCCCTCGAGCTGAACGGCCCCGCCGCAACGCTGCTCGCAGAGAACGCCGGCACGAGTGACTGCACGGGCGACGCAGGAGGCGCAGTCGGGCATGGAGAGGTCGCCGCGGCATTGGTAGAGGCCGTAGACGACGTCCGGGGCGCTAGAGCCGATGATGGTGAAGTTGTTATAGGCGGAGTAAGTGGCCGAGTTGACGAGGGAGGTGAGTAGCGAGTCAAGGTTCGACTCGTAGGCGGAGTTGGGAGTGAACTGCTGCTGGGTACACCCACCGTAGAGGAAGGAGTCCGTGGAGGCTGAGACTGAAGAGTTAGGTAAGAAGCAGACAATAACGGTAATAACGAGGAAGAAGATGGAAAAGGGTGAGAAGAAAGTGCTTGTTTGGGCCATTAATACGTACATGTGTGTTTTTTTCAGTGTGTGTTTATGTTGGGTAAAGAAAGGCGGATGGGAACTAAGTAAAAGGAGGAGAATATGAGAGAGAGACTAATGTCTTGGTGAGGTTGGAGGCAGATTTCATGGAGAAATATTGCAAGGTGGAGAAGGAGGACCCCTGAGCTTGTTTAAGGAGTTGCTTTATATAAGCAAATCCCATGGCGAGCCCATTTCATGTAAATGATTAAAAAACTTCCCCACACATTGTGGGGTCTCTTTCTTTTTCCTCTTTTTCTTGAAAATTGATATATTATCTTTTCAAACAAAAAGCCTGAGTTTTTTCCCACGGAAATAGAACAATATACACATATAAGAGATTTACTATGTCTATATAATCTGATTTGGGTTAGATGTATGAAGTAGTCTGAGGTCAATTTTGCTTTCAATAACTGATTACTATATTTTCTTTATAAACAGTAAAAGTAAGTCTATTGTGTTGTGTATTATTTTTGAACGTGATCATGCCAGAGCAAACACTGAACTGTTGTTGATTTTTTTTTTTTTTTTCATGTGGTATATATCAATTATCAAATGAAACTTTATAATTCAGTGAAAACTTAGAACCTTGGCGGTTAAGATAAAGTTGTGAGGAAAGTAAGAAGGAAGTCAATAGCTAGCAAGCAAACTTCTGCTGTTTCTCTTTTCTCTGCAACAATCACTTTAACATGCTCCACAATGCGAGTCTAGAGTTATCTATATCTCTTTAACCTTCGTGAGTTGATATTCATTATTGAAAAATATCATTATGGGAAGGAGGCTTTACGGCCTACCCAAGCTAAAGTTCTCGAGAGTTGCAAAAGAGCCTTCCAATTTTTCTGAGACGATATATATATATAAACAACTTTTGTTAGGCATTAAAAGAGAGGCAAACAACTTTTATCTAGTTAAATAAAGCATCACTAAGGGATGTTTGGGTAATTTCAGAATCACTTTTCAGAAGCATTTTTTTTGCAAATCTAGATAAACTCTTCCATATATTTACTTCATATACTGTAAAAGCACTTTTAAAACCATAATTTTGTTCTTACCCAAACACCTGTAAGTCCTGGCTTAAGACTAGAGCCATGCCACATTGACCCAAAGTAATCGACTTTTTTTCACCCAAAAAAAAAACCTTTTGTGACGAATGGGACAGGGAACTAGAATCCTATGATAAACTTTCTCCTATAATTTTCCTGTTAGACTTCACAAATTTTCCCAAACGATAGAATCAAAAGAGCTCAAAATGCAAAAACACAATCATGTGAGTTCAGAAAACAAGAAGACAGATACAGTGAAGAAACTTATCCATTGTAATCCATTGTAAAGACTGGAAGCAGAAATCTAGGTGGTCCGGTCATGAATCTGCAGAACTCATCGGAGCCCTAGCTTGGGGGGGGGGGAAAAAAACTGTTTCTATATATATATATATATATATAAACAATACATCGGCTCAATAATTACAACATGGAATCTATATATGGATTGAAAAAGCAAGCAAAATGGTGAGCCTAAGATAAGACTCCATCACTTTGCTGATTCAGGAGAGAAAACACTTTTTGAATGAAGACAGAACAAGACAACTGTGATAACGCACTACGCCTACCTTCCTCGTCACCCTCACCTTTGAGAACCCCTAAAATTTTCCGCTCCTGAACCAACCTTGCATCATCATTTATATGGCCTTATTGTGTAAATGTACAGACATATTGGTTCAATATCACAGACAACATAATTCAACTGATTCACTCTTCAAGCTGGTTTGATTTCCAAGTTATATAAGGATGTGAACTTGAACAGCAAGAAAAGTGGGGGAACCAGAATTATTAGTGTTGGAACTGAAGTATATGGTCACGGGAATGCTTACAGTTGAAGTTTTTTAAGTCATAAACGATTTTACTGCGGAATTTTACTGTTTTCTTCCATTTCTATCAATGTTGCAGTTTGAAAATTACATAGGTAACTCAAAGGATCATCATATATATGTGTGTGTGATCCAGTGAGGTTCTGAATATCCAAATCATAGATAAAAACACACAAGAAAGAACTTTACTTGGTACTGTTTCTGAACTCAAAGCGTGAAATTAAGTATCATGTTGAAGACTTAAGAGTAGGCTCAAGGAGATGTGATGGGTATAGGAAAGGGGCAGACATGTTGAAGCAGAAGACAGTTGAGATTTAATGCGCAGAGATTTTGCTCTCACAAGAGATCAAGACCAGATTTGTGGTCAATTTTGATGTTTCATTTTCTCTCGTAATTTGTTCTCTGTTGGTCTACTGCATATGGATACTTAGCCACATGCGGGAAGTGGAGAGGAAGAACTGAAGAAGAGTGACTCTCTGTCAAAAAAGCAGTGAGAGACAGAAGGGGAAAGTGTTACTTTCAGGTTTGTCTTAATGAATTTATGATGCCTTGTCTTTGTAACATGCATGTTGGGCTATATGCTGGCCTTTTATGTTCGGGCAATGTCAATGCCACGCACTAAATTTGTGTTATAATTTCAAAAAGTTTGACCCTAAAACGTCAGAGGAGGTTTATTCACAAATGTGAAAAATCATCATACCTGCAATGTGCATTGCACAGCGATATTTAAATTTTAAAGACCAAAAACTGCTCAGTTTTAGAAAACCATGCAATAGTGAACAAGAAGCCTTCCATATGACCTGTACATTTTAAAATTAAAATTCCATATTGAGGAAAAACAGAGAACATCGTTTACACATTATAGTCCATAATTGTGGGAAGTCCGAAAGATATATAGGGTAGACTAGACGCAATAGTTAGATAGCAAGCAAAAGCAAATTGTGAAATGTGACCTGTGAGGCTGAAAGGGTCAAATTGTGGCTTGTGGCTTAACTTAAGGCCTTACGCAAACACAATGCCCATAATACTTGACAATAGTGTTGGGCCTTTAGTTTCTGGGCGAGCCTCCTTCAAAGAGACCAGTAAATAAAAAGAGAATTACTGTGAGATAAAAAAAAAATAATTATTAAAAAAATCCCAATAACAAGTGAGTGGTTGAAATATGTTGTCAATTCTTGCTCTGAAACTTGTCATTACAAGCTATTTAATTGCTATAATACTTTTTAATGAACGTGTCCCTTCTTTAAAATCTTATTGCAATTCTCCCATAAATAAATAGTTATCTTAATAGTTAATGATCCATTTATTATGTCATGACATCTGTTTTGAATATATTTGTTTATTTGAGGAGCTGAGAGCATTTTCTCCTTTCTCCTAAGAGGGGATACCAATAAGAAAACAGACAAGGTAGAAAACATTTTTGAGTGGACTTCTAGTTGCACGCAGAACCAAAAGTGGCAAATCAAGAGAAGTTTAGCGAGGTATAACGACGCCAATGGGTTGAACAGGTTTCTAAAGTCCAACCACTTCGATGCACTTACTGGGTCAATTACAGTGAAGAAGCTTATCCAAAAGTTAGAAAACATCCTTGAGTGGACTTGTAGTTGCACGCAGAACCAAAAGAGGCAAATCAAGTTACAAGAGAAGCTTAGCGAGGCATAACAAGGCCGATGAGCTGACCAGGTTTCTGAAGTCCAACCACTTCCATGCACTTACTGGGTCAATTACAGCGCCGTCAACAAGTTGCGGGTTCTTTTTTCCCCACCCACAGCACATTCTCGAGCTGAAGGTACCAAACTTGAAAACTAACAGTAACTTGGGGAACAGGTACATTGAACGTAAAATTGTTTATACAAATGGAATTGACAATTCCCTTCCCTACTAATTCCGCAGCTGATTTCCTTCCAGGCAAAGCCAAAAAAAAAAAAAAAACAGCTCTATCCATCCCCTCCACGAAACTCACTTATTTACAACTCAGATGTGAATTGTGACACAGCTTTGAGACGATCGACGAGTCTGTCTAATGCATCTTTCATCCACCAATGCCTACAAACTTGTCTTGCCTCTGCCACGCTCATCTACACAAACCGTAACAAATTCAATCAAAGTTGTCTCATTCACAGTTCAGAAAACAGTTTAATTAGGATAATCCCAATTGAAATCAAGTTCCCAGTTCATACCCATATTCTTTCACGGACGTTTTGCTCTGGCCAGAACTCTAGTTGTTCTTGAACCAGAAGAGGAAACATGTAGCCTTCATAGAATGAGTCATGAGTTTTGCTCTTGAAACTCCATTTCCCCAATTTACCCTGCTCCAAACAGAACATGACAATACAAAACACAGCATTTCAATTTGCTGAAATAGGGACCTTAATGGATATTATATTAATACGTGAAGGTAAGCATTTAGAGCAAATGGTGTTACCCCAACAATGCCTCGCACACCAGCTTCTTCTATGGTCTCTCGCAAAGCTGCCTCCTTTTGGATTCGTCGAGTTCCCAGCCTCCCTGTTTTGGGTCAACCAAAGGGTATTTTTAATAAATAATAATTCATATAGAATCTATTATTGTGCTGTGCCTCTTTGGGTGTGCTTTATTGACTCATATTTCCCTTACCTTTGGAAATAGCATTCCATTGCCTTTCTGTGAACTGATAACCAGAACTTCTAATTCTAACTCTTCTGACTCCTTCAAACAAGCTTCTTCCCCGAATTTATATCTGTACGGTATACACCTGCATCATTATGTCGTAAGTACATCGGTTAGAAACTTCATAACCATTACCCTTCTTCCTTCAGTTTCTTATGTGTTCTAACAAAATGGTAAGAGAACCCAGGTTTCCCAGATAACAACAGGAACTAAAGAAACTAAAAAAGATCTTGTTTTTTCACAGAAAGAGACCATCCTCCCCCCCCCCCGCCCCCGGAGTAAAGCTTGAAACTGTAATGGGAACCTTAGATTGTGTCGAGAGATCGTGTGAATGAGAGAAAGAGACGAACCCGACGACTTGACGACGGCCTTTTCTGTAACGCTGCAATTGCCGGCCGGTGCGAGAGACTAATGCAACAGCATTTTCTTGGGAAACCAAAGTCACCATTCTTGAGGGATCTGTGAAGAGAACTTGCAAAGAAACGAGAAACACAAGGGGACTGAAATTACAGAAGCAGAGAAAGCCAAGTGTTTTTAGTGTGTTGCGTGGGGATGATTGGCGAAGAAAATCACGATGATGGTGAACAAGCGAGGGAATTGGGATTGAAGAAA